GGGTTGGTAAGGGTGAAGATGAATTAACAAGAAAGAGAAAACACGCCAAGACCAGTGGGTTTTTTGTTGTTGTTGTTTTTTTGTTTGTTTAAAAGGCCAGCTTTGATCAAAATCACCCTCAAAGGGAAGAAAACATGGTTGTATGACACCTGCAAATGTGACAGAGCTCCAAAATTTGGTCTCTTTATGCGAGCACAGTGGGGAAGGGGTACGGGCTCGCCATCCTAGAGGCTTAGAACAGGCGTGCAAAAGCTAAAAGAACAATGATTTTAAATCCTAACGATTAGATCTAAATATTGAAACCCATATTTTTTGTTTGTTTGTTGTTGTTTGTTTGTTTGTTTGTTTTTTGTTTTTTTATAGGGGGGGGGGGGGTACTTTTTCTTCTTGATGTTGAAATGTCATGGTATTCATGCTCTCATCGTCAATAACCATCTTATACAAATTATAGAATAATATGATCATTAACATGAAACCCGAAAAGAGGACAGAGAACGGTGAAAGAAGTAATTCTCGGTAATCGACGTATGAATACAGAAAAATACAGGGTGTTCCATATTCTTTTTTACGTGTTTTTGTTTCTTCTTTGTGTTGAAATACCATTATGTTCATGTTTTCATAGTCAATAACCATCTGATACAAATAAGTACATTAACATGACACTCGAAAAAGGGACATAGAACGGGGAAAACGTAGTTCTGTGTAACCTATGTGTGCATATATTTTTAGGAAAATACAAGATGTTCTAATCGCCTGACTTAGTTTAGTCGCACGTAATCGTAACTTTGTTCATAACAGCTGTGCTTGGTTAAGAAGGACTGGTTTCTTTTACCCGAGCCGGTGTTGTTACAACTTACAATGGAAAAGGAGATAATATGCGACGTTAGGTTAATTTATTCGCCACTTTGTGTGTTGCACAGTTACTTATTGATTAATGATTCGCGCCTCTCCTTTTGACATCTGTCTCACTAACGCCTGAGTGAGGACTAAAATAGGAGATGGAGATTAATCACCCTGATCATCGTGTCCTAGATGAAAGAAAAGAGCAATAAGACTTCTTGTATTATCTTGTTGGGTTTTTTTTTAATAAAGAAATCTAATTAACATTTGCTGCTGGTAAAAGTATACTTAGCTC